TTCTCATATTGCAATGATCGATTCTATTTCTTTCACATTAAGTACTGTACTAGTAAATATGTGAAATGACAAACTCACTTTGAAGGTTGGCTTTCATACACATCAGTATTAAGTTTAGATCAAAAGTTACCTCAAGGTGCATTTACTGTTAACATGACTCGATCAAACAGATTAGAGGAAAGAAGAGAAAAGATCGAACTGACAAAGAACTAATGAAGATGGTACAAAGGTGGGCGCCAAAATCCCTTTGGGATCTCTTGTTATATATTTTATATAAAGATTGTTTATGAGAGATGTGAATTTTGCAGCTTTACTTAATGAAAAGAAGGAAAAAGATTTTGATGGTTCGGCACTGTGACTTTCCGTCTAAGAGAGGTAGTAACAAGTGACTAGATAGTACACTACTGTGACCATTATATTCGTGCCATCTTTCCAGAATCGAGAAGTTGAGGAAATGAAGAAAGCCCATGCCAAGCGTCAGGCCCGGGTCAAGGAGATCAATGCCAACTACAAACTTGTCAAGGACCAACTGAAATCTCTGGAAGATGAACATTTTGGGTAAAATTTTCTGTCTGTATTTGTAGTGGCACATCCTAAAAATGTTTGACCTGCTCTGTACCTTCATCTTTCTGTCTCCCGTTCCTTTCCTTCTCTTACCTTTTGCAGAAACATTATGCCAATATTTATCATTTTCTTTTTTAAATAAGGGACTTGGACACATTGTTTAGATACCCAGGGTCAAATAGATTTGAAAAACATTATCCTTGAAACAGAATATTTTATCAAAACTGGAATAAAGAAAATCCTCACACCTTTGTTGTTTATATCGTCATTCTGAGGAATAAATACATAACAAAGTTTGTAATGGTTAATATTGAACAGTTTTATGTGGATGTAAAATATTCATGTTTGAGATTTAAAAAAAAAAAATTGATGTATTAACACCAAACAAACTAACAAAATGTATTTATAAATACTACTTATTGCATAAATGTATTTCAGTTTTATAAATACCGAACCCAATAAAATGTAGTCTACTGTCTGATCCTTAGGTATCATGTCAGTTCCATCTCCAGGGAGGCAACTCTTGTTATACCGAGGGAAGTTATACAGGGCATACTTCACTCTCTTGTTGTTTTATTTTTTGTAAAATTTATAAAAAATCAAATAAAGAACCAATTTTTTTTTTAAAATGAGTAAACAATACAGGTTTTTTAACAGAAGAAGAAAAGGTGTGCTGACCATGTTAGTTGTACTAGAGAATACAAACCCTCTTCATTTCTGTATTTTATGGTTTACAGAAGGAAGAAGAGGAAAGGTAAGCGTGCGGATCCGAGAGATCTGCGGTCAGAGAACAGCGATGGTGTGTGGAACGAGCTAGCTCACTATAAGAGTGAGAACAGGAACCTACTTGTAGGAAGGTGAGTAGGTCATAACCTCTAATAGAAAGGTCAGTAGGTCATAACCTCTAATAGAAAGGTGAGTAGGTCATAACCTCTAAAACACTAATTGACTGGAAACGTTTAGACTAGGAATTATATTCACAGATATGTACCTCAAGAAATGTTGATAATTGTGTAATAATGATGTTTGAAGAATTGTAAAAAAAGGCACATATTTCAAGGGAAGGTTCCAGCTCATCAAGTAATAGATATTTAGAACTACACATGAATGTGTATGCACTGCTCAGCAAATTATGATAAAAAATATACAATATATACATCAATTTATCATACAGTGGCTTATGTTTGAAGACAGTTGAGCATCTGTTGGCCTGATGCTGTGAATATTACTGTTGACAATAGCTGTGATGTTAGCTGTTGAAAGTTCACTTTCTAGATAGTTAAGGGTAGTAATAAAGATATTTGTGACAAATATGTATACTGGCCTTTGTAGGGTTGGTATAGAGGAGGACTTGGATTCCTTACGGGTACAAACCAGTCAGGACGCGGCCACCATTCATGAACTCAAGATTGCTCTTACGCAGGAGAAGGAAGGTATGGGCATTTGTAGATAAGGCAAAAAATGTTTAAAAGAGTATGAAACAGAACGATTGATTATTTCAACAGGTATTCTTAGCCGACAGTGTTCTAATCTCAAATACCTAGGTATGCATTCAATAATTGAGAAATTTTATGAAAACAAGGCTACATCTCACTGGTGATGATATTTTCTTCAAAATAGATAAGGTATTTTGCAGAAAATCTAATTCAAAATACAATCTTATATTCTAAAACAAATATTTAGAAAAATCTCAAATTCAAAATTTATCTTAATTGCCAATGTGCGAGATCAAATATAGATACAAATTATCTTATTTAGAGCTGTATGTTACAATGTTTTACTGTATCTCCATTTATTGCTGTGGCTGTTGTCATATGGAAACCGTATTGAACAGTTCAGTTAACTGTTGTATACTTTAGATATACATGTACTAATCTTAGTCTTCTTTATTATCTCTAAGGACGACAGTATGACCGGCGTAAAACCGACCTCAGGACACAGGCACGGTCAGACCAAGAGTCGGAGTTACGCCTTCTTAAATCTGAGGTACTACAAAGTTACCATCAGACACTTTTAAATACAGAAAAGTCTCTCAAAATGAATCTTCTAAAATTTACAGTACAAAATGCAGCTTTCAATCTGGAGATAAAATATTCTTCCATAAAATGATTAAGAATGTTTCCATTGAGATTTTTGTCTGCTTCTTTTTATTTTACAAATAATATTCTAACAATCTTTACCCAAACTATGCATTGACTTATAAGATAGTTTGACAAAAAACGGAAACAAGTTTATTAATATTTCAGTCAAATAAAAATGCAAAGTAATAAATGAACAATTATTTTAAATTGATTCCTCTGTTTCACAGTTACAAAGTAAGGAAGTTAGACTGGAAAGAATGCAGAGAGAAGTAGAAGATATCACGGAGGAAAAACGTAATCTGCTGGAGGATAAAAGGTACAGATTACATACACTCATCAAGTCTAAGTTGAAGGAGTGTAATAACACATTCACTCTAACATTACAATAGCATTTCCTATAATCTGTCATAAATCCTGGAGATAACATAGCGATACTAAAGGCACTTTTATGAGATAGTAACATAAGGATTTGGCACATATAATATCTGGAGATGTATTTATCATTGCATTGATCTTCAATATAGATTCTTACCAGATTTGCCTGCTTGTGACAAGTGCTAGACATTGTACTTCATTTGTTTTCAGGGCTCTGAAGGCAGATTTACTGGAGTTAAAACAAGGCCATGCTCAGCATCGGATAGAGACGGCTGATTACAAACACAGTATCAAACAGTAAGTAAGGGAGACAATTGCTAGGTAAGTAGGGGAGACTATCACTGGGGAAGCAAGGGGAGACAATCGCTAGGTAAGCAGGGGAGACAAACACTAGGTAATTAGTAGAGGAGATAATCGATGGGTAAGCAGAGAAGACAAACACTAGGCAAGTAGGGGAGACTATCACTATGTAAGCAGGGGAGACAATCACTGGGTAAGCAGGGGAGTTAAACGCTAGGCAAGTAGGGGAGACTATCACTGGGTAAGCAGAGGAGACAAACAATGGGTAAGCAGGGGAGTCAAACGCTAGGCAAGTAGAGGAGATAATCGATGGGTAAGCAGAGAAGACAAACACTAGGCAAGTAGGGGAGACTATCACTGGGTAAGCAGAGGAGACAAACAATGGGTAAGCAGGGGAGTCAAACGCTAGGCAAGTAGGGGAGACTATCACTATCTAAGCAGGGGAGACAATCACTGGGTAAGCAGGGGAGTCAAACGCTAGGCAAGTAGGGGAGACTATCACTGGGTAAGCAGGGGTGACAAACACTGGGTAAGCAGGGGAGACAAACACTGGGGAAGCAGGGGAGACAAACACTGGGGAAGCAGGGGAGACAAACACTAGGCAAGTAGGGGAGACAAAAACTGGGCAAGCAGGGGAGACTATCGCTGGGTAAGCAGGGAAGACTATCACTGGGCAAGAAGTGGAGACAAACACTGGGAAAGTAGGGGAGACTACCACTGGGTAAGCAGAGGAGACAAACAATGGGTAAGCAGGGGAGTCAAACGCTAGGCAAGTGGAGGAGATAATCGATGGGTAAGCAGAGAAGAAAAACACTAGGCAAGTAAGGGAGACTATCACTGGGTAAGCAGTGGAGACAAACACTGGGCAAGCAGGGGAGACTATCACTGGGTAAGCAGGGAAGACTATCACTGGGTAAGAAGTGGAGACAAACACTGGGAAAGTAGGGGAGACTATCACTGGGTAAGCAGAGGAGACAAACACTGGACAAGTAGGGGAGACTATCACTGGGTTAGCAGGGGAGACAAACACTGGGTAAGCAGGGGAGACAAACACTGGGTAAACAGGGGAGACAAACACTGGCGAAGCAGGGGAGACAAACACTAGGCAAGTAGGGGAGACAAACACT